GACCTTGCGCTTGCCAGGCAGGCGCTTTGCCGCTGAGCTAAATCCCCAGCCCCTGTTCATTTTATTTTTATGACAACTAGATTAGCTATTCAGAGCTTTGCACTTGAGAAAACTAATCACCTTGTCATTTTTAATAAATCCTTAAAAAAATGACTACACTAATGAAGGGTCTTGTAATGTTGTAGCTCATACAGGCAGAATAAACGCTACAGTAAAAACCCTGTAACTTCGGCCAAACTAAACACAGTGATGATGTGGTACACTTAAAAATATGGTAACTATAAAATAAGAATACTTTGCATTTTTCTATTTGGGAATCCTAAACTTAAAGTCTAATTTATAAATGGCAGGTAGCTTTTATAGGATATTGAAGAAGTAAAAGGATACTTCAACTTTAGGGAGACTTCCTAGAATCTTAATAATAGTTTTAATTCAGACTTATTTTGAGAACTTCAGAAATACATCTTTACATATTCAAAACCACCAACTACTTTCCTCTGTAAGACAAAAGCATTTAAATAACATTGTAATATATATTTACATATAGAGAGAGTTGTCCATTCTTATACCTTTATATGTATGGGGGGGCACTTAGCACATAGAAAGCCTTAAATAAATGTAAGATATTCAGAGAATATATAACGTAATGATTAGTATATTTACAGGAAAACCATTTTGAACATAGATAATAAAGACTACCAGTGAGTAAATGTGAAAGTCAATTTTAGCATTTGTGAAATTATCTTACGAACTCCATGAATTAAATGCAAAAAAGAAAAGAAAAATCTAAAGTCTTACTTATAGAGTGAATTGTATGTGTAATTCATTCCAGGAAGCTTCAAAATTTGAAGAATTTTACTGCTTAATACTATCTTCAGCGATTTTATCTCTAACAATAGAGACTTATCAAAGCAAAATTTCAGAAAAATCTATATGATTTTATGGAAAATTCAGAGGATTATTTGGTGTCTAACAATGAAAATAAGCATTCTTTCATAGCTAAATAGAAATTGAGATTTCTTAGACGGGTATAAATAAGACACCCTTTGAGAATTCCTTCAAATTTGTTCTCTTTAGAGTTTGTGACTATGAATCTTTGGAGTGATTTTTGGTAAAGAGATCCCCATTTGCCCTCATCAGAAGAGGGTATCAGTAAATATAAAAATGGTTGATGCAGGGGGCTGGGGATTTAGCTCAGCGGCAAAAGCGCTTGCCTGGCAAGCGCAAGGTCGTGAGTTCGGTTCCTGGTATCGGAGAAAAACCAAAAAAAAAAAAAAAAAAAAAAAAAATGGTTGATGCAATTTGGTTTCATAAATGAAATTTTGTAGGCACAATAATTTAGGGGTAATAATTCCTAGTGTTTGGATTTACAGTTGTGTAAACATGTAAAATTAATTCATGTGAAGCAACTAGTTTGTGATGATACAAAGAGAAAGATATAGAATTGAAATTTAATTTCAGATATAAATTAAGTCTTTGCATTTGAAGCACTTCTGAAAGATAGAGAAAAACTATTACTGTGAGGGTTTCTTCAAGGTATATCCATGTAACATCATTTTGAATAGGATTCTTTTGGACCTTCTGTTCACTTTTCACTTAAAAATTTAAAATATCAAAAGTTTACTATATTTCTTTCCCATAATTTTAATTGGCATGTAGTTTTTTTTCACAAATGGAAGTCTATAAATAGCTGTTTGTCTTATGGTTTGCCCTTCCTCCCTCGTGCAGGAATGGCAAACCTATAGCATGCATGCCGCAGCAGGTTGTTTGTGTCATGGAAAGCTATACACTGCTCACCATCACTGGTCTAGTGTATAAAGATTAAAATGTATACCTGTGTTAAGTGATTATTGTCTCACAGTCAGTGGGGATTTTTTGCTTTAGCAACTGTAATTTTAAAAATTCATGGCTTTTTCCCTGGTTGTCAAAATAGAGATGTGAGTATAAGACAATTAAAAATGCACAGGACAAAAAACTTACCCCCTACGCACACCAGCCCCACCAGTACTTGATACACGTGATACTAATTGTCCAACTAGCTAATCCACTCCCACTCCCACTCCAGGCGTCTGCCAAGTTGCTGCGTATGCAGTCGGCCGGACTACCAGGTGAGTAACTCAGCTGCTCTAACTAGTTTCCTCGTTTAAAAACGTGGACACAGGAAAACCAACAGTGCCTACACAACCGGAGAGTTTTGTTTTGTTATTTTAAAGTACAGGGCTCAGAGTCATCTCATAATGAGGGAATTGTAATTGCCTGCAGAATTCTAAAAAAAGGACGGGGACAGAAAATGAAACTTTGGACACACGTATTTTTTGAAGCCTTTTCAACACCACTTCCATTCTTTGAACCATGGAAAGGTAAGTGAATAAAAAATAGCAGTAAAAGCTCATATAAAAGAGATAAAAAGAGGAACCAAAACAACCACAAAAAAACTAATAACCAGAATAAAAATGATAACTGTCTTTTCTAATGTGGTGATCCCTGACTTGTTAACCCTCCCAAGAAATAAAGACTAAAAATCAGTTGCACTCCAAAAAAAGACTTTGCAAGCTCAGTGTCACTGTATATTTAAAAATGTTATTTTACTATGAAATAGCATTAGCCAAGTTGGTCTAAAAAAGTAAAAAGTCTTTAAAAGTATACCAAAAGAAAATTGACAGATTTTAGATAATACTCAAGTGAAATAATTGCATGAGACAGAATACAACTTTCATTTAACCAGGGTTAACTGTTCTTGAAAATTAGGGACAGTAGTACTATATGCACTTTAATTTTTTTCAAAGTACAGCAGATGTTCAATGAATCGTAACTACTAATAAATCTTATTCCCAGATTACATGCAACTTCTGGGACAGTTCTGTGTCTTTTTTATTCTATGAGGAAATCTGTTTTAGGAACTTCCTTCTAGGTCTTGGTTAGACTACTGTCATATTACATTAACTATATTACCATGTTACTGTTAGGCACTATTGCTCAGATTCCTATTTTACATTTGATGTTTATACACTTAGGATGTCTCTGTCCCAGTGGATGCTGCTCCTCTTTTATTTAATAAGTAATTTTAAAAGCCCCATAAATATTTTTTATATTAGTAATGCTGATTTCTTATTAGATCCCTTAGGATTATACTGCTATCTACATCTTTTAAGTTTTCATGGTATTTTAACTATTTCCTCTTTCTTGTAGAAAATGTTTTGTGTGTTTCCTTAATCCAGCAATGATTTTCTACATGAGGCTTTGCAAGCAAATTTCCAATCTTTTTCAGCCTGCCTTTAAAAGGAGCACTGTGGTCTAGGGATAGAGGCGCTGAAAAGGGGTAATAGCCAGGAAAACAGTGCCAGGCATTGCTTGAGAGGCACCATCAGCTCTTCTTAGCCCTGTCTCTCAGCCACTCTCTAAAGCGCGTCATTTTCACTCACATGAGAAAACGGGGTTCAGATGATTTAGTGGTTTGTTTAAGTTTATAAAACCAGAAAGAGGTAAAGCTGCAGTTTGAGTCTGGGTCTGTGTAACTATCAAGTCTTAGATGGTATACTAGATAAACATAAAGAATCTTCCCTTTCCATTTGTATTCATTCAAAACTTATGGAATGAACAAAAAATGGCTGGGGAATATTCTATTCTTTGGATAGGGATAAAGGAAACCTTTAGGGTGTTTGTGCTTTAATCATCTACTCTTTACCATGAATTGTGTATTGGATTTCTTCATGGCAAGAGCTCAATGGTTGTGGGTTTCATAATCCTACAGCAGTCCCTGGAGGAGAGGGGCATCAAGTCAAGTCTGAATGGCTTCAATTCTATGGCTTCCCATTGTCTTATACTACCATTAGCAGTGCCATATTGAGGGTGAGAAATAGCCATGAAATATCCTCATAGGATAACATCAGTGAATTGCACAGATCAAAAGCATCACTGCCTCAAATGTTCCCTATCAGCTCTTCTCACTTTGCAGTGTTTGGGAATAAGGTAATTCTTCCATATAATGAAAACCAAGAGAATCTGTAAATAGAACAGTTTAAAATTAAACATGCTATAAGAGTAGTATTAGTAATAATATGATTGAAACCCACCTGCAAAAATCTTGGAAAAAGATGGTTTGATTCAATGCCAACATATATGTGCAGCAACTCCAAGAGAGAAATGGATTGGCAAATTCGCATGACAAGTCCAATAGCATAAAAAGTATCTATCATTGAATCTGTGTTCAGTGGATTAAAAATACATATACAGTAAGGAAGAACTAGATATGCAGTACTTTGAGTTAAAACTGAAATTGTACATGTGAAAAATTTTCTAGTCTACAAAATTACAAAGACGGGAACACAAAGAAAGCACTTCACACTATAGTATACTTTAACTGATCACCTTTCAAAAGTAAAAAAGTCTTTATAGTCAAAGCTGGAGTATTACCCATATATGAGATTATAAAGCATTTCCCACATAAAAGTAATCTGTAGGAATCTAAGCCACCTTAAGTGCAAATAGGTTGAAGGAGAACTTGTTAAAGTAGCTGTTCTGCTCAGCTTTTCCAGTGATTACAGAGCAGCCTTATGGAAGTGACATTAACTGTGCAGTGACATCAAACACCAAGTGCATCTAGCATTCTATTCCTATGTATATTTGGCTAATGCTTCCTGGTTTTGTGTTTGTTTTGAGCATTGAACTTGGGTCTTGATCAAAACTTACAGGAGTTTGCACTGCAAACAGTCCAAGTGAAATACTACCCTTGGAGTTGAAACGGAAGGGAAACAAATGTTTCTCTAAGTAGGCAAAATGTGTTGCTTTAAGTTTTAAAATAAAATCCCACCATGACTGGAAAATTTTAGGGGCAATGTTGCAGTCTTTACTGTCTATCAATTATTGATATAACAATCGGTCAAACCCAAAGAGTTTCTCTTCTCAGCAGCAGCCTAAGGTGGATACTATCATTAACACCTCCTTCTCACAGGTGATTCGTGAAGCATAGACAGCCCACGCTTTTACCAACTGCCTGCATGTGCTGGAGCAGAGGACTATCAGTTCCACAGCTCTGTGAAGGTAGAAGGTAGAGGTGTCACAAGTGCAGTGTTGTAGACAGCTATTGAGCTACTTAAGTCACACACTGACTGGTGAATTTTGCTGACCCCTCCCTTGTTCTCACTCTCCCTTTCATATGCATCAGCTGTGCTTCTTGAGTAACTAGTACTTCCATAATTAGAACAGCAGGGGAACTCAAAGTAAGGGCCAGGGGTGTAGCTCAGTGGCAGAGCACTTGCCTAGCATGCCCTACGAAAACAAAAACCAGGGGGCTGGGGATTTAGCTCAGCGGCAAAAGCACCTGCCTGGCAAGTGCAAGGTCGTGAGTTCGGTTCCCGGTACCCGAGAAAAACCAAAAAAAAAAAAAAAAAAAAAAAAAAGAAAACAAAAACCACTGCTGGAAAGAAGCAACATTTCCCACTGGGAAGGTGAGGCAGCCTCAGAGTTCCTGGCTTGGGATGCATGTCATGAGTGATGTGTAGTCCACACAGCTTTACTAACTTCCAAGACTTAGAAGTGATGGCTTTTTTCCCTAAAAATACAAAGAAAATTTTCACATTGCCTGTTTCCCTCTACTTGAAAAGTCTTAATGCTTATAGTTTAAAATCCAGCATTAAGTTGTAGTATCTTGGAGGTTATGAACAAAGGCATGACTTGATCGGTAGCATGTACTACATGTTTTCTCCTGTAGAATCTTTGGGAAAACTGACCTATAAGTAGAGTGGGGACTATTAAGGAAGGGGAAGGGACCCAGGAGAGGAAGATGAGGGTATCAAAGGATTCTAGGGAGGGTAGATTCAATCAAAGCAAGTTTTATGAATGAACAGTCATGTCATAAGGAAACCCATTGTTTTGTATAATTAATATGTACTAATAATTACTAAATGCTTTTAAAATAATTTGTGTAAATTTTGAGTAAGAAAAAACAAAATAGTTTATGATCCCTCAGAAGTAGATTAATTGCCTTAAGATACAGAAGTCTGAATTGATGAGCACAGCATGGCTTTTTCCAGATATGGTCTATGTGTTTTGTTTTTAGCTGAAACCACAGTTGCTCAAATAGTCAACTCACCCAAACAGTTGTAAACTGTGATGACACTTACTCGTGTGGGGACAGAACATAGAGACTTATTTTGGCAGTCATTTAGTGATTCATTTTTTCAAAAGGTGGAACACTCCTTTAAGTAGCTGGTGACCTTTTTTTTGGTATCAGGAAGTGAACTCATGATCTCACACTTGCCAGGCGGGCACTGTGCCACTGAGCTATATCCCCGACCCTGGAACACTCCTTTAAAACAGCATTTTTACTTTATAGGAAATTGGAGGAAGCTGGTGACTTCAGTCTTTATTACCAACTCCCATGTAGATGGTCAGTCATCTGCCAAGTGTACCATTTGCATCTACTTCAGAAAGGGGTCAAACAGTGTCCTGGGAGAGTAAAGTTTGTCATTCACTTACTAGTAGTCTCTAGTTATCCTAAACCTGGGAAATAAAAAACACTGAGAGAATTTGATTAATTCCTGATTACTCTGCACAAAATGTTATATTGGGGTTTACAGACTTCCTCAAAACACCCCAAATTTGCTAGGATTTAGTGCAGAACCCAAAAGGAGTGGTGAAATGGCACTATCCCAGTGATACATCTACATTTTCAGAGCAACCGGCCAGCTTAGGCAAAAGTCAAGTTCCTTCCCCTTATCCCATTTTTCTCTTCAAAAAGATTGTGGTTTTTCAATGAGTAAGAAGTATGATTACTGAAAAATATAAATTTTAGAGAAAAGTGTTAAATGAGTTTCATAGAAAAAAATTTTAAATTAATACAAGCATTAATATTTAGGTGAAAACAAAGATTAAAAGGTAAAAATAAAACACCATTTTGAAGTTTTACCTTTTCCAAATGAAAAGAATCTGACTGTCATGTTTGTAAATATCCAAGAGTGGCCACAGAACTGGATTAAATAATAGACGAAAAGATAAACATTCTTCCTATACCTATAAAAAAACAGGACAGCACCATTAATTACTTCTTTACAATTATCCTTCCATCATGATACACATGTCCTGTCCTGTACAGGACATGATCAACCTGAGCAGAAGAAATCTTCCAGAGGAGTCCTCTTTGGTCGCCACCTCCCACAACACATCAGATGCTGAAGGGCCCATGGTGGAGAACAAATATCTGCTAAAGAAAATATATTTGCTTAAAACAAAATGTTCTTTTTAAAAATCCACTTTCATCTTTAATAAAATTCTACTCTTGCTGTTCACCAAGCGGTAAAAGCAGTAACTGCAAAGATAGCATCAAATATGCAGAAGGGGTGATGTGGCCCCGAGAGTTCCTAAGGAGCGGCTCTGCCAGGGTGGACAAGTTCCCCGAGCCGGGCACGTGGAACCTCGGAGAGATGGTCAGCAAGCTGGGGGCGGACACTGTGTCCTGCCGCTGGATGACGTTATGTTCACTCCAGTAGCGCAGTCAGCTAAGCGTAGAACCTGAGTGAGAGTGGTGATATTCACAGACCCATGTGGTGGATAACTTTCAGATGCACTGTGCGACCGGAGTCAGCACCTTACCACTGCCTCTTATTTTGCAAAGGCATAGATAGTTTCCTTCAGCACTCATGTAGAAAGTAGTTTACTCAAGCCAGAAGGAGAGAAAAAAGGAAGTTAAGCCAAATTTTAAAATGTGCTGTGGGCTGCTGGGGAGATGACTAAGCGAATACTAACAGCTGCACGGTTTGAGAGAGCGCGCTGTTTGCGGTGCCCCCGAGAGCTCACGAGGAGCGGCTCTGCCAGTGTGGGCAAGTTCTCCGAGCGGGGCATGTGGAACCTCGGGAAGACACGGTAAATAAGCTGGGGGCGGACACCGCGTCCTGCAGCTGGATGCTGTTCTGTGATCCGGCCAGGTACTGCGAAACGGGGCTAGAAAGCAGAAACCCTGCTTCAGCCTGCGCGCGAAGCACCTGGCGTGGCCGTTAAACACGCATCCCTAGACCCCGTCTCCGCCACGCAGTCCCGCGCCCTGGAGCCCCACGGCCATGGCCGTTCCCACAGCAGGAAGGTCTGACTCTCGCCCGTGACTCAGGGTCTGCCAGAGCCAAGGGACGGCGCGGGCGGGCGAGGAGGACGGGCCGAGAGGGTGGCCTCGCCCTCCTCCTCGCCGGAAGTCTAGCCGGGAGAGGTGCTCCTCCAGGGCTGCGGCGAGGTTAAATCAGATAATACCCGTCCAGAGCCCTGGGGACTGGGGCGGTGCGCAGCCCTGCCCCGCGCGGGCCGCCCTCCCGCCCGCCGCGTCC